TCTCTATACGTTCTCATTCTTGAGCGCTCTCCCAACTCAACACGCATTCGTTGAATCTCACCTTCAACAACAAATTACATATGTATTTTTTTGTTTTTATTTTTATTCGTTTGTTCGCTTTTAATAAACAAGTTGTGGTAGGATCGCACCGACACAACTATTACCTGCATACTGTTTCTCCTCAATATATAAGCACTTTGCTCACTTTTCATTACACGCTAGGCACACTGTTATCGCATGGTGATAACGGAAACTCGTGGAAATTAGCTCCCACACGCATAAGTCCCGAAAGACATGTTGATTTTCCACTGACAAGCAAGCGCTGCACTTATATGCCGCGCACTACAATTGCGTGCAGGGTGCAGTAATCGGCATTCAACTCACCACTTGAAGAGAGGTAGGTACACAAATGTATGTTATCTTGGTATACGACTGTTTGGTTCACTTGCACTCACTGCGGTACTATAACAGCGCTCCGGTGTGAACAGTGCGGCACTATGTGTTAGTTTGAATTTGTTCAATTCGGAAGAGATTTTTTCGGTTGGCGTTCATGGAATTTTTCATGTGTTTTGCTATGAAAACTTAAGCATTTACATTTTTGCCAAGCACTAGAGGCACTGAACACTTATTAATCATGTTATTGACAACGATTTAAGCATATTAAACATGCCGATTCAATGAAAACTTATTTTAATCAACTGCAACGACGTAGAAACGAGAGCAGCGATGTTGTTGTCGTATCGATACACGACATCGATAGATTAGTTTACACAAGCCAGTGGGACCAAACTAGATAACGACTAAAATACTAAAAAGTCACAAAAGCCGCCATTAATCTAAAATTTAATCACCACATAAATTTAAATTTGTTTACTGTATTTTTATTTTATTTTGTATTATTTTTTTTTTAAATATTCACACACATTCAGCAGAGCCAAGCACAACACAAATTGTCTGCGATTACAGATATGTTTAATATTCGAGATCCAATTTGGCGATCTCGGGTAGAACCGTGAGATCCTGGTGAACCTCCAACCAGCGTTTCGCATGATATGTTGTCTTCTCAAACGAACGTCCAAATTTGTAATTATGGCCAGGCACGTGACCGGCATAGGTCGGATGCATGCCATGATTGTTATGGTAAATGATAAAGTGCCCAACTGGTGGGCACTTGATAGCTGGCGTTGTCAAATCTTGACCGCAGCACCAGCTATCGCGCTTCTTTTTGTACATGTAGTCGGAGAAGCTGCACAGGGCATTGTGGGTGAGTACCTTACTCGGCTCACCGAAACGTGTCATGGCCATCGGTATATGAGCAGCATAGCCATTGATGATGAACTTATCGGCATCATCATCATCCAGAAAGTGGGGCGTAGTGAATTTGCTGTAGCATAGCTTCTCCGTTGTCGGTGGACATTTTTCGTCCTTGTTGCCCTTGCAGACGCGCGTAACGGGCAACAACGGTGCACGATAGGTCGATTGAGGTAACTACAAGAGGAACAGATGTTATAAACAACCGTAAAAGATGAAGAGAAAAATGCTAACCAATCGCTCATTCCATTTGTGCTCGAACAATCCTCTTCCACTCTCCAGCAAATCTCGGTGACGCAAAGTACGCCTCTCGCAACGGTAGAGCTGCATCAGCGTCTCGTGTTGAGCGACGCCCGCTGTGGCAGCGGCTACATAGCGTTTGCCCGTCTGCTTGAACATGTTGGGCACGAACCCCGCATAGCCCGGTATGATGGGATGCTGATACACGGGGTCAACAAACTCCTTGCGATCGTGCAGAATCTTCAGCTCACTTTGTGTAGGATAATCCTTATTATCGGGCTTGGCATCAATAGGCGCCAGAATTAGCTCAGGTGCATGATTACTGCAGGGATCGATAAGCAGCGTGTGCGTCTGTCTGCCGTAGGTCTTGCCCACTCGATCACGATTCTCAGGACAGTGCCCGGTATAACTGTAAAGAGAATAGGAAGAGAGAAGCAATTTCAGCAAGCAACTCTATACATACATTGATATTTTTGAAGCTAATCATTTGTATTTATTTATATGGGAAGAGTATACAAAAATACACTAACTCATATGCTCAGACATACATATGTATGTTTGTATATTACAGAACGCAATTTAAGATGAAGAGAGAAATCAGCCGTTGTTTAACATTCTACATATGTACATTCGTACATATTTACGTTAAAACGAGAGTAACACTTCAGCGTTACTGGCAACGGTAAACAGAGAGCGGCTATCTCGCTCGATCGCAGAATTAGGCCCATGGCTCTGAGAGCGAGTGAAAGAGCAGCCTGTTGCACAGACCTTTCGTTGTATAGTGTAGATATGTATATGTTGTATAGTTAGGGATGATAGTTGTATGTGTGGAACTAGTGGCGATAGTTAATCGCTCTCACCCTGGCACCAAGTGCGGCTCTGGAGTCATGCTGTTGTCCATTTTTCTCAAATAAAATTATTCTAACTGCAAATTTGGAAATGTACTTTGTTTACTTAGAGTAATTGAACTATAACATAAATTTTTGTTGTAAAAATACTAATATACAAATTTACATAAATATTATTATATGTCATTATATATGACAACTAAAACAGCCGCCGTGCTGGTTCAAGCTCCATCAAACTTGTTCAGACGCCTGCAATGCGTAGCATTTGCTCAACATCCACAATCTTCTCTCGAAGTTTGCCCTTGGCCTTTCCCGCCTCGCATTCCTTTTGGTCAATCCTGAGCCAACCTTCCCAGGTGACAATCCGCTTGTTGGCCACGTCAAAACCAGGTTTTGTTGAAGCCGTGTCGAAAGCATTCGCTGCTATGTCATCGCAGATGGTTTTAGCTACCGCAAAAGCGCCATTCATAGTGGTTAAGATGACGCCCGTGGGTCCAGTTCCCAGCCAGCCAGCCACGTATAGGCCTGGCTCCACACTGTTCCCATCGCCTTCCCTCAGCACGCGCCCCTGCTCATGGCGTACATGGCCACGTTGGGGATCGAAATTAATGGCCGGATCTGCACAGCTGGACTTGTAACCAATGCTGCGCAAGATAAGATCAGCTGGCAGGCATTCCGTTGCATTCGTAGCCACTGCCGCGTTCTCCTGCAGCTGCGTGACAGCAAATTCCATTTCCTTGGCAGAGATGGCTTTCGGTGCCCTCAGAAAGATGGGCAGGAATTGCTTGCCATCTGCAGCTGTCGCATTGCTTTTGCTTTGCTCGCTCAAACTCTTGAGCATTAGTTCGGTTAGACGTCGCCTTGGTCGTTGCAACTGTTCCACCTGCTCGGCTATTCCTGCAGAGCAAATAGAAGAATTTAGCTAGATTTTATACTTATTTTATACTTGTAGCTCGTACCTGCAAAGTCCGCTGCTCGCCAATTAGTCGTTACATTGGGCAACTTGAGCATTTCGCGCAGCTCTTTTATCGTAAAGGCAGCTTGCAGAGGTCCACGACGTCCCACGAGATGCACCCGCTTCACTTGACTTCGCGCCAGAGCTTCCAGTGCATATTCCGTGGTATCTGTTTCCTGTGGAGAGAGAAAAAGAAGGTTAACTAAAATAAAAAATAATAACATATATTTATACCTAATTACCTTCAGTTTGTCTATTGGACTGAGCAGCATGCGTGCCACATCCACCGCCACATTACCCTGTCCCACAATCGTAACGTCGCGCCCGCTTAGATCCGGCTGCAGTTGCTCCGCTCCGGGTAAGCCATTGTACCAAGCCACAAATTTGCGAGCGGATATAACGTGTTTCTGCTCCTCGTTTTGTAGCTGCAGCTCACGATCCTGATCTGCGCCGTAGGTGAGCAGGACAGCGTGGTAGCGTTGCCGCAACTCCTGCAGGCTGACATCCTGGCCAAGGCTAACGTTGCCAAAGAAACGTAAACGCGGATTTTCCGCAGTTTTCGTAAACGTATTGATGACGTTCTTGACCTCCGGATGATCGGGCGCAACACCAAAGCTGGAATGTCAATTTGCATAATGGCAATTGTCATTAGTCGTTAAGTGTCAGCGTGTTATCCACATGCAACAGCCATTAAATATAAACGTCCCAGTCAGTTGGCCGCACAAAACGCGATTGTCTCTCGATTCTTGAAGATGTGGACTACTCCCGCTTTGATTGTATTCGGCCTAGTAATATTACTCTGCCAGCTATTACTTGTGGCGGGTGCACCGGGCCCCATATGGAGCTTCGACCAAGTGGGCTGTAAGTAGCAACAAGTGTAGTTCCTCTCTTTCTCTCCCTCTCACGAGCCTTTTTGCTCAGCCTATTTCAATGGCATCTTTCGTTCAGTGGTTGGACCAATCTTTGGGCTGGACGACAATGCCAAGAGCGGCAACAGCACAAGCAACTAGTTTAATTCTCCCCCCTTACCGCACCAATCCAAAAGGCACTGGCAGCTTCTCAACGATGTCCACGATGCAGTCGCTTAGCTGTTTGAGTAAATATTGCGCTGCATAGAAACCGGCTGGACCAGCGCCTACAATACATATCCGTTTCTTTGCCGTCACCTGTTGCACACTTTGAATTCTAATTGCACTTGTATTTACATTACGACTGTATTTATTTAACGAACTCAGACGCGAATATAACAAATTGCGAGTGAAAGTCATGTTTGTCTTGGGAAAAAGCTGCGTAATGGTGAAATCGCCAGAACCAAAACATAGCGCCAGTGTGGCCGTTGTGCAGGCATGCGATGTGGCAGCACTGGCCGCCAGCAGCGAGGCGGCATTTTTAAATGCTAAGCCAAAGCCGCTGAATAGTATTAGATTGTAAATTAAAGTCAAATAGTTTGATATCAAAGTTACTCTAAACTTGTTTGCAATTCAGCAGGCGGAAACCAGAAATTCATATTTAAGTAATTAAAAGAGCTAAGCGGTCAAAATATCACTGATATAAATACATACAGCGCCAATGCACATTACATGTTGCACGCGGCATTTTAACTTCCACTGCAATTGCCTCGTAATTAAATTAAAACACACAATTTTATTATTATATACTTTGCAATTTGTAACGTGCTGTTTAAAGCGAAAATTTTCGGACTTTTAACTTTTGTATATTTTGATGCAAGGCAAGCAATATTTAATCATGGTGCAGGGCTAGCCAACGTTTAGCGTCAACTGTGGAACGTCCAAAGGTGTGGCCCACCTTAAAGATTTCGCCAGGCACATGGCCGCCATAATGCGGCAACATGCCGATGATACGAGGATAGATGACACCGTTAGTTATGGCAAAGGATCGCCCGATACCAGCGCTGCGTATGGGCACCCATTCAATGCTGCGACGAAAATATTTATCATCCTTCGGAGTACACCAACCGCCCGAGGGCAGAAAAAAATCAAAGCCACCTAAAGAATAAGCCACAATTAGCCGCAGCCAAATCAATGTGACAGCAAATACCCACGGCTCGAATATGACATTCTCTATATATTAATAATGTGACCAGACTGGTCGATCGCAGAAATAAAACTGAAGGCCAGAAATTTTGTTGTTAGTCCCAAAAGTGTCGAAAGCTGACGGCAAAGGCTACGACTAAACGTTTTATTTATTTGTCATGGCAACGATCACGTTTATACGAATTTTGATAAATATATATGTCATATCGATGGCTTATAATTGCGGTATTTTAGCAACAAGTTTTGATTTCGTCACGAAATGCTATGGAAGGATAACAAACGCTCTTGTTTAATGTGAAGCAAACACGCAAATCAAAGGGAAGTTTCTTTCAACTTTAAATTTTATAATGATTTATATATTGTTTATACGCATAATGGCTACATGTATATTGTGTACAAATTGAAGTCATTTACAGGCCATTTTTATTTGACGTTATTATTTACCATTTAAAACAAAACTTTTGCAATTTAATATAAATTTAAACAGAAAGATTATTGCGATATATATAGTATATCTATAACTGTATACACTATATGCATATATCTATGGAGAGTGGGCAATATAGAGAGCTTAGTTTGATTTCTTAGATTTCTTCTGCTGTTTGCTCCGGAGTTTCTCCTGTTTCTTGAGCTCCTTCTCCGTCAACGATTTGTAGAGCTTGAAGCCAAAGAGAGCTGAAAGAGAAGAAATCGAATGATTATTAGATATCTTTAAAGTGGCTATATTGCAAGGGCTCATTATTAACCGAAAACCGAGACGATTAGAAATATGACAGCCACCAGAATGGAGGTGGTATAGGCATGGGCGATATGCGTGTGCTGTTGCAGTCGATGCTCGATTCTCGCTATTGCCTCCTGGATGGAGCCCTTCATCTCACTGACAAATTGATGCCGATCTACATCTGTCAGCGAGTCCAATTTGGCTTGCAGTTTCCCAATTTTCTGTATTAGATCCTCAGCGAAGCGACTGTGCGGCCCGGTCTTGGCGACCAGCGACTCCACTGAGCGCTTCAGCTGCTCAATTAGGGTTTCATCATTAGAAGCCATGGCACAAATTCACAACCAAAATTTTGATACGAAAAATAATAATAATAAAATTAAAACTACAGATAGATAGAGAGATAGAAAATAAACGGCATGGCCAACCACGCTGCTTTGACCAAAAAACCTTTTATGTTGATTTTCTTGACTTTTTTATACATATGTGTGTATATACATAGTTTTGTTGTAATTATTTTGTGGTGGATTTCTCTCCCTATCTTATCGAAAATCGAACGCTATAAAAACCGACATTCTCAGCAATAATAAATAAAAGCAATGTTTATTTCTGAGTATGTTAACAGCGCACACTATCCACAGATATCACCACCACATTCATAATTATATACATACATAAATTGTATTTGTTTTAATGCCCATTCGTAATGGTTATATGGAGTATATTGTTTGTCTGTAGCAGGAGGCGTGCCAGGTAACATGTGGAGTAGCGAAAACTGAAATAACAAGAACTATATGCTAGAAGAGATGCTAGATCATGTTATCTAGGACCGAAGCTGATCAAAAACAAATTCACTACAATGATTTATGCCTAGGTAAGCACACCCGAGTCTCATTTCTTTTGCTCAGTTGGAGTTTTCACGAATGCTAGGTAGTATTCTCAGCTTACCAAAGACCAGCAAGATGAGCGCTAGCATCACAAAGAATATTAGATACTCCTTTGAGCTGTGGCCCGGCTGTCCGTATTTCAATAAATCATCTGGCGACGCTGCCTTCGGATTGAATATGCTCTCGCGCAGCTCGGCCCGTTCATCGTCTGTGATGCCTTCCATGGACTCGACCATTTTCCATATCTCATCAGCGGTGGGCATTTGAAAGCCCGCCGAACCAGGACCGGAGCCCGGGGGCAAAGCGAAGCCCTCATCACCGCCAGCTGCTGCGGCAGCGGCCACATCTTCGGCAAACGCGCGCTGATTCAATGGATCTTCGGCCATTGTTTACGGTTTGTATTGATTTAGCTTTGACTTTGTCTTTTAAGTTAAGTTTAAGTTAAGTGTGGGGCTGCTGGCTTAACGATTTATGGCGTCTGCAAGTTAAAATTTCTTGAGTGCAGGCAAAACAATGTATTATTTAGCTATAGACTAACTATCACATAACGGAATAACTATTTTTATTTAGCATGCAGCAGCTTTTTATATAAATTTAAATTGTTTCTATTAACTATTTTGCGAATATTTAAGTTAAATAAGATTCAATGATTTATGTTGAGTACAAGAACAAAATATTTAACGTGGCAAAGAGCAAGACGAAAGAATTTCGCTCACAGCTAAATGCGCGCGCTCATTTGCTCTCTTATGGCACTTAGGTCGCTAACCACCAACAGCAGTCGTGGCCGAGTGGTTAAGGCGTCTGACTCGAAATCAGATTCCCTCTGGGAGCGTAGGTTCGAATCCTACCGGCTGCGAGTTGGATAACTTTTTTTTATTTACTTTTGAAATAAATAATTACAATGAATGAATATTCACTTGTTATAGCAAACTAACTCACTATTTTTAATTAATTGGGTTCTCTTTATATGTTTAAAGCGGCGCGACTAACGTTCGGCAGCGTTGACTTGAACAAACTGAACGTTAAGTGGCAAATCTAATATATAAATTGGAAAAATAAAAACTTATTCGTAATCAGGTGTGCTTATATTTCATTCTATATGATATATACGTGCAGACAGGTAGTTGTTGCTGCGCTTTATATTGAGTGTTGCTTCTCTGTTCTTTTTGCTTAAGAGTCAGCATATTTTTTTTAACAGGTAGTTCGAACTCAAGTTAGTAAATAAAATAATATGAGATAATGTGGACTTATCAGCTGCAAGCTTTTATATTGAGGGGGTATAGGCTATATGCTATAGGCTATTGGCATGCATAATGATAGGACAGCTTCTACCTAATTAGACACGAAGATACAAATGGAAATTCTAACTCGAATCTGGGCACGTGTTCAGTTCTCCCATTAACATTTTCTCTGTTGGTTCTCAAAGCGTAGTGCCTTGGCATTCTTATCGCTGCTAGCTTATCATTTTCAATATGAGAACAGCAAAACTTTTGTATACGTCCTCAAAAATATATGTATTAAAAAAAAAAGATAGGTATGCTAAGTACACGTATACAAAAACCAACAAAAAACAAGAATTGTATGAGCTTTGACAGATACTATTCCAATCAGCATGAAGATAACGGCATTTCCAATCAGCTTAGCAGAGTAAAAAACAAAGACGGGCACAATAGAAGATGAGCGAGGGGCGGTGGAGCAATTCTAGTTAGATTTAGAGTGGTGAAAGTTTTCTTGTTTTTGTTTTTTTTGTCTTTTACTTTTGACCCACATAACAGTAGTGCGTCTGTCATAATGGTGTGGCGGAAGTGTATGGTGGGCTGTACAGTTCCTTTTATTGCATGCATGACGCAACAAAACGCATCTCTATATTATAATGCATTAACTAAACCAACTCACCTGCTAATCCAAAAACAACAACGGCCGGCACATAGAATGCAAGATTTGGTATGGACTGCTGGAACGGTGAGCCGGCATCGGTTAAATCGACCATTGTGTGTAAATTAAAAAGAAATTATATTTTTCGGTTCACTGGGTAACTAAAGCAGCTTGGCAGGCTGTTTCTATTGTGGCGTCTGTCACAGTTAAAGTTTATCTCAGAAATTGCCGAAACTCGACTCAGATGAAAATAATTTAACTGGCGTTGCCATCTAGCTGAAAAACAACAAGGCTGCCACGCGACGAAAGTTTGTCTAGTCTCAGTGCCGTTAACGTGCTACGTAAAACTTTTTACGGTACCTCACACTGGTTTGTGACAGCTGTTTATTGGCGTGCGAGAAGCGACTGCAATTTTGCTAGAAAATTAAAAATTTTCAACAAATCTAACCAAAATGAAGGTTATTTACAATTCGCTGTTTAAACGTACATCCACATACGCTGTGGCCATCATGGCATCGGCCTTCTTCTTTGAACGCGCTATCGATGTCACTTCGAACTTGATCTTCGACAGCATCAACAAAGGCGTAAGTTTTTTTGTTGCTTATGTAATAAATTTGTTCACATAAAAAGGTATTTCTCCTGTTACAGAAACAATGGAAGGACATCAAGGGCAAGTACGAATAGACGAGCGGTTGACTGCAGCTAGAGTTAAATAAAACAATGATGTTGGTTAATTGTAATTAGCATAAATCAACGTTTATTATAAACGAAACGACATCCGAAACAATATTGTTTTTGTTTTTATTTCTTTGCTGCAGTTTGTGTTGATATTTGTTGCTCCGTTACCTCCCAGGGTTTCTCATGCCTATACGCATCCCAGGGATGCGTAAGTGGGAGTCTAGCGGGTTCCTGGAAGCTGACTCCGTTTTCCTGCACAGCTTTCAGCAGCTTCTCCAGTTTACTGCCGGGGACAGCGGGCACGTTGCATGTCATCTCAGTAATGCCGGCTTGAAGACAGCGTTGGGCGAGCACACGGCCAAGATTGACAAATGCAGGTGTATCATTTGTTTTGTACAATTGCTGCTTGATGGCCCACTCGGAGGTGCTGGCACTTAGAATTGTGCCATTCTCGAAATGCTTCACATCGGCACTAACATAGCGACCGCTGGTGTTGACCTCTAGTGTGTGCCAATAGGAACGGCCAGGCTTCTCCAGATGATAACCGGTTGGCTTATAGCCTATGCGTAATCTCTCGAGATTGCGAGGATTCCGGTTGACCACGTAGTTGCTATCGGCTGACGGCGTGGTCAATTCCTTAATTTTGTGTCTCACACGGGCTGAGGTAAGAGGACGAGCACTGCGTGACATGGTTAAGACTGTTTATCAAAATAAATGTGTTTTTAATTCACATTTAATGTAAAATGAATAAAGTCTCTCCGATTACAAGTCGATAATTTTAGGAGTATTTTTTTGAAGGGAGCTGGCAGCACTGTCTTATGTAATAGCTCGCCGTGAATGGCAAAAACGCTCAGCTGTTTCGGCCTTGTTTACATCGAAAATTTTCAATTTATTTCTTTTTCCATTTTGGCCCATACATAATACACTCTATTGCTTTCTTGGCAACAGCAATTCACCCAGACATGCGCGCTACAGCGAAAGTGCGCGTTAGGCACAAGAATCTATTGCACGGGCCTGAATGCGCTAACCTTGGCCAACCGAAATTCAACCTGGACGTTGTCAGTTGCAGTGCAATCTCCTCCCCGCATTAACGAATTGGCCGTGTGTGTGGTGCCGCTAATGATAAATAACGCTTATGTAAAAACACGGGTGGAATATACAAGAAATTAGCCAATCCACGGATATAAATCTTCATATATACAAAAACAAACGCATATCAAAAACAAATTGAGTGTTCACCATGCTGATGGCAATTTATGCAAGTTTAAGGCGAATTCGGCCTGATCACGTGAACTTGACTGCCACGCGTTGTCTGTGGCAATGTCATAGACAAGAAAAGTACCTGCCGCGGATCATCTATGGCCGACATGCGTACATATTGTCCGTGCGGGTGAGAATCAAATCAGAATATTCAAATTTGTTAAGTATAATCAATTAGTTTAGTTCAAGTTAATTGATTTTTTGTATATGTGTGCATATATGCACATACATATGTATGCATATGATAAATGGCACGCGTGTTGATATTCACCACAGCGCAATTGGCAATGCGACCTACAGGTCAGGGATGTTACGCAAAGGCGCGCAATTCAAATAGCAATTTGCGATGTATTCAATTTAACTGATTAAGACCTAAATGTTATAGTCGATGGTTTCTTTATGAGTCTATATTTATATAGAGGAGCAAATATATCAATTATATTTATTATGCATGCGTATTGGCCACTTATATTCACCAGAGCAGGATTGCCTACCAGACTAGGGCTGCAACGCATTCGCGCGCTATTTGAATAGATTTGTTGTTATCTTTCGGTGCATGCCAAGTGCAAATCTGTGTGTGAAAACGTGCTTTCGCAACAACTGATAAATATTTACTGATTAAAATGTGCTGCATTACCACTTGACTATTGCCCAAGCACTCTCTCTAGCGGCACTCTGTGTCTTTCTCTCTCTCTCTCTTTGTTTGCTTGTGGCGCCCTTGTACGCATCTAATCGTGCACATTTGAACTTGACAAATTGTCAGTTACGGTTTAAAGCTGCCCGCGCGCAGTTGTGTCCGCCCAAAGCAAAATATTCTTTAGAAACAACAAATCATATAAACTTTAATTGAATATATAAAGATATATTTTAAATTAAAAGAAGACGCCTTCAATTAAGCGTATTAAATGTTTTGATTGGACTTTAATTGCCCACAGTGAAACTTGCCCCATAGCGCCCAGGTGAATGTCAATGAAATATGAAATGTATCACACACACACACTTTATTCCTCAAAATTATATGTAGTGTCGTTTTATATATATATACATATTTTTGTATTTTTTGTATAAATGTAAATTGTTCTGCTAAATATTGCCCGTCTTCGTGTAAGTGAAAAGACAAAAGAGTTGAACGCTTGATATCAGCAACGCTAACCGTTGCAGATGTGCGTTGAGCGTGCTTCTACTGTACTTTGTTTTGCCATAGGCTGCGTAAATTACGTTTCTTTGTTTTTGTTGTTCGTACTCTCTCTCTCTCACTCTACCTGTCTCTTGCTGCAGCTTATTTAGTTTATAGCACAAAGTGTTTTAGCCTGATGTACGCAACTCGGATTGTCACTGAACAGAAACATATATAATTTTTATTATATAGAGCTGAGAGAGAAGTAGTCTTTGACCCAACATAAAGTACATTTATGTAGAATGAGACTTAAACACACCTGCCTCATGGCTGCCAGTTAGTTTGATAGCTTGATCGCCATGTTAAACAATGTTACCATCAATTCGCAGCCGTTTGTGCAGGCCCCCGAGGCGCGCCCCTTGCCCGATGATAGATCATTGCCGGGACTGCAGCAGCAGCAGCCGCCGCACAAAGAGCCGGAGCAGCAGCAGCAGCAGGAGGAACAGAAGAAGCAGCAGCAGACGCAGACGCAGCCAGAGGCACATCAAAAGAACTCCACACACAACACGAGCACACTACAGGTAACTTTATCGACTGACAGCATTAGGCAGACGGCGGACAGGGAGCTTAAGCCACAGGACGGTCGTACGCCGGACCGGGAGCCCCCGAACATGTCAAATATGTCATCCGGCGTCGAGATACCATATCCCATCGATTGGATATTTCCCCGTTTGCGCAATCCATCCAGATTCTGGCTCATCACCAGCCAATTGGTGGTCACCATTGTTGGCATCATCAGCAAGATTGTGCTGGGTGAGTGAGAATAGATCTATGTATATATAGAGAGTGATATATTTACTAGATTTTCATTTTCCATCCTGTAAGAAAATCTTTTGTTGACTGAAAACAAATTTCGTTTTTAGTTGCATTTCTGCATTACAATATTGTCATTGTTTCTCTTTCTATGCTTTTCTACATCATCTCTTATACATCCAAGTATCCTATATATGCTCTATATATACCGTATTATCTATTTATATTTGCTTGATTTTGTTTTCGTTTCGTTTTGGGCCATCACGGCCAAGTTGCTTGCCTCCATTTATGCTTCCTGTTTGCATATTAATTAAAATTTGCTGCTGCAGCTACGATATAGCACTTGTCTAATAGTTCACGCTTGACTAGGCAAGAATTACATAGCTTACGTCTAATAGGGCGTGCTCGACGAGCTCCTTACCTGCTCTGTTTCTGAGATTAGGTTTAACTCAAACACAGTTCATCTATATAAAAATATATATATCCGATCTTGAGGGAGCTGGCTTTCGGCTATGCTATATTAGGCTATACCTATAACTGCACATATATCTCCTAATGCTTTCTCTCTCTCTTCTCTCACACAGTTCTGATGAATAAAACTCAAGTGTACAACAAGGAGCGTCTGGTGAAGGCCGTGGCCAAGCGACCAAAGGGCATACCCTTGGTAACTGTGTCCAATCACTACTCCTGCTTCGATGATCCCGGTATTTGGGGCATGCTGCCCATGCGCTATGTCTGCAACACGTTTCGCATTCGCTGGTCAATGGCGGCGCACGATATTTGCTTTACCAAAAAGATTCATGCCATGTTCTTTATGTACGGTGAGTGGAGTCTATAAATGGATATATATAAGGCACTATAAATGCATAATTATTATAGGTAAATGCATACCTGTGGTGCGTGGCAACGGCGTCTACCAGGAGGCCATCAATCTGTGCATCGAAAAGTGCGCTCTTGGGCAATGGGTGCACGTCTTTCCCGAGGGCAAGGTGAACATGACCAAGGAGGAGATGCGTCTCAAATGGGGTGTCGGGCGCATTATCTATGAGTCACCGCGCATACCCATCATTGTGCCCATGTGGCACGAGGGCATGGACAGCGTGCTGCCCAATGTGGAGCCCTACAAGCTGCAGTGGGGCAAGAAGGTCACCGTCAACATTGGCGAGCCGCTCGACTTGAATGATTTCGTGCAGGGACTCAAGGATACGCGAGTCCCGGAGCCAGTTGCCCGCAAACTCATCACGGACAAAATACAAGATGCGTTCAGGGTATTTGTTTTCAGCATCAATTCGCAATCCACTCGTTCATTGAATATCTTTTTCCTTTGCAGGATCTGCGTAACGAAACGGAGAGATTACATGGAGAGCGCGCTTAGCTCGGGATAGTCATGCTGTAGCAAACAGAACTCAATGAAAGCTTATTATTTATTTGAATAGTATTAAGCCAAAAATGAAGCCTCCATAGAATATTATACATATATTTATTGTAATCACTAATTTTCTATTAGGTATGTATGAGGCTTATGCTGCCAGTGTGCGAAAATTAACAAATTAAGCAATCAGAACAACAAATACTATTGTGTGAACGTTTACTTTAAGTAGAAGAGTGTGTATTAAAAAGTAGTCTGAATATAGCCAGCACGTTAAATGGCGCTGCATTTTCTGGTTTGTTTAGTATATAAATATGATGGCAACGCCAAAATGCACGGACTAACAGCACTATTGTGAATGTTTACTCTAAGTAAAAAAGTGTCTACTAAAAAATTACCTAAATTTAAAGAGCAAATTTACTGTTTAGTATTTACTTCCAAACCCTGGCAATGCCAAATATAATGCTAAATTCACAATAACAAAAGCAGATTTTATTTTTTTAAATGGGTAATAAAGAAAAAGACGCTGTCAATTAAAATACCAAAAACTGCAAAATTTTAAAAGAAAGCTTGGCTCAAATTTTAAATTATTATTTTATCAAGCTGGCAACGCTGTCAAACACTAATCAGCTGTTAAATGCACCGTTAAACGTCTTAAAAAAATGTAAGAACATAATTTTATCGCAAATAAATATAAAAACTATTAAAAAACTAATTGTTAGGTCCATTTTGAAGAGAGAAAATGCACTGGTGCTCACCACACCAAAACGCATTGAGCTGCTCAAAGACGGTCCGCCAGCTACAGCAAGGTCCAACAGGTGTCAAATTTTGGGCCGAGGCGCCTATGGCACAGTCTTCAAGGCTATTTATAGAGGTATTTCCTAGAAATCTACAATGTGTTCTGTCATTTGAATTGTACTTTCTTGTCAGAGCATGCAGTTGCATTAAAAATCATTAAAGCCGGCGCCGTATCCACTTTGCAAAATGAGGCGCACATTTTGAACTGGAAGCACAAAAATATTGTGCGATTGATTAAGCTGGAATCGACGCCCGAGTTTGGTTTGCTCATCATGGAGCTGCCCAGTGGGTTGTGTCTCCAGCGTGTGTTAGACACGCTCGCGCTGCCGCTGCTGCACAGAGTGTTGTAAGCTGTGAGGGAACATCTATTTAGATCTTATAGTAATTTGTATTCTTGCAGCATAACCCTTGATATTCTCGCTGCGCTGCGATACTGTCATTGCCAGCAGGTGTTGCATCTGGATGTGAAGCCTCCAAATGTGTTGGTTGCCCTGGGCACCAAGCAGGCAGGATTTGGTAGACTGGAGCAGTCCAAGCGTCGCTACATCTGCAAGCTCTGTGACTTTGGCAGCTCCATTCGCTTGGGCGATGAGCAATGCGGTGTCAAGGGCACATTGCGCTACATGTCGCCCGAAGCCTTGCGTTCGTTGCCTCTGAGCAGCGCCTCGGATATTTACTCCTTGGGCATTACCATGTGGCAGTTGCAGTCGCGTCGCTTGCCCTTCCATACGCTCAACTGCAATGAATCCATTGCCTATCAGGTAGTGAAGCACGATCTGCGACCCGATAACTACGCGCTGCTAGAGTCGCTTAAGATGGCCAACGAGCCGTTGCCCTTGAGTGGCTGTTACTGTGCAACGGACTGGCCAGACAGCTCTGTGGAGCTCATCTGCAGCTATATAGGTCGGATTAGGCCCCAAGTGGATGTGCTCCTCTCCACGGATGTCTACAAAAAGGTGCGTCGCAATCTGAACTTTGAAGCCAACCACGGCCGAGTCCATAAGCGACACAAGCAGCGCAAGCAGCCCCGACTAGCGCACTATTTCGACGAGCCATCATGCGATCAGGTGTCCAGGAGTCTGGAGGGCGCCTATAGCGAGCTATACAGAGGCTGTTGGCTGAGCCAACCCGAGCTGCGCCTAAACGCTGTCCAGCTACAAAAACGCCTGGAGCTGATCCTAAACAAGTATATATCTACCTAATTTTTAAAAGCCTGCGAGAATTTTAGCGTATAATTAAGTTATTTATAATTTGTATGTTTTCTTGTAAAATTTCTTTTATGCTTAACTCTTATTTAGCCAAAATATATTTTAAATTCTTTTATTTTATTCTTATATATAGTTTATTGTCTTTTATGCAATTGAAACACATTTTCGCATTGGTTTAATAATTTATATTTCGTAACTTTTTTTTAATTTATTGTTTACATTTTGTACTTGCTACGCTAAGAAAATACATTTATAATGTTTTATACGAGCTTAAATTTATAATTTCTCAATTTTGTTTTCCGTCGAGCGTAGTGCGTTTGCTATAGGTTGTATATACTATATACTATATATATATATATATGTATGTATAACTCGTACTTAGGATGTGATTGCAAGGACCGAACCCGAGTTCGGTTGCTACTTAAAGAGACTAACTAGAGAGTAGAAGAAGAGCTTTATGCCTATATATATATATATATATATATAT